GATATCCAACGTATGAATTAACAGAAAAACATTCATTTATATATATATATATATATATAATTATATTTTTAAAAAATATCTTCTCATAAATCGGAAATTAACAATCCCTTAAAGACGATTTAGCGAATTTTTCTCGAATATTACCGATAATCTTAAGAGCAAATCCTGTAGAAAGCTTTCCATCTTGATACTCGATTAAGTTGAAACTGGGAATGATGTCATTAAGTTCTAGGTATCTTTCCACCAATAGGAGGAGACAACTCTTATAGAAGATTTGTCAGAATCGGGACCGTCCCATCCTATTACCGCTCCTGCATCACGTGATTTGGATCAATTCCTCTACTGCATGGTCACGTGGCGAAACCGGGGCGTATAAAAGTAGTTGCGAAATAAAGCATTTCCTCCCATAACCAATTTCCACAGTAAACAGCAACAGGTATGATCCTTAAACTTATTTTGCTTTAAGTTTAATTAGCTTAACAATAAAAATAATCCTTATTGTCTANAATTAATTATCTTACTCTAAATTATTCTAATATAATTATTATTTTATAATAATTTGCAATGCACTAAAATTATTTAAAAACTGTTATCGAAGAGCATAAAAAATTGCTTAAAAAATGAAAGAATAGTTTAAGAATAATGTTTACTGAGTAAAATTCTTCTTTTTAACGCTTAAAAGAGGTAGAATATAATTAAAACGCGAATAATTAAAGTTTGAATAGAGTTGAAAGAAAGTTATCTTACCTCCCTTTTATCGTATGAAGGAAGAGGATAAACATGGTTGACGCCTTGGACTTGCAAATCGGATAGAGTTTGAGAAAGGACGAGGTTGAAAGCAAGAATAAGTAAGATAGACCACGTTGCCATTGTAGAGTGCGCCAACCGATTTGACAGGAGTAGGACAGGCGCTTGGATTGTACACGGCTGCAACATCAAGGTCGCTTTCGACCAATCAACAGGTTTAGCTTATCCTTCTTCCACTTGTTTCCTTCAAATATATAGTCATATCAGTCCCACGCTGCTAGGGTGCTTGACCAAATGAAGAACTCCCGCTGTATTGTGGGATGTACCTCAGCAAGGACACCTCTTTCCATACTCCTCCCCTACTGTTGGCTGGCGGTATCCTTAGAGCTACCCGCCGTCCTTACATGTTAATATTATTATTCAAATTTTCCAATGGCAATTTCCATCTCTGCAGCATGAAAAAAACCCGGCAATTTTTCCATTCGTTTTCCTGAATGGTTATGAATATATTAACGCCGCTTTTGGTGACCGTAATTGAAGTGCTTTACTTCAACTTTATTGGTCGATACTTTTTATGACGTGAGTCGGCACACGTCATTGGAGAAAGTTTCCTTATGTTATATTGGTATAATTAATATAAACGTTGCCCTATAATCCATTCCGAGTATCTGAAACACGACCAATCTTTATACATTGATTACATTTGTATCGTATGACATATCCTTTAGAAGATCAATCAAATAACCTGAATTATTTTTATTTTACTTCATATAATATTACATTTCTCCTATAACATCTTGTTTCTACACAAAGCTTTCTTTAAAATGGCGTTTAAAAATAATTTCTCTTTTCCTTATTTTTTTTTTAAAATAATTTAAACACATTAAGACAATTTAATTATATAGTTATTTAATTAAATGGGTCTACTGCCCCATAAATGAAATTGAAAGTGTTATCACCATTGCTTCTGTCCTTCGTCCCGAATAAACTTTATAACGCGAATTAAATAAATATTTTTAGATTTATAAATGTTGTTTTGAGAAAAACACTTGCACATTTTATCAAAAATATATTTATGGTGTCATATTTACTGCATGAAATATTTTTAAGCTATAAATATTACCATCAATAAATCAATCTCACTTTTTTCGCGCGCGCGCCTATGTGTATATTTATATATATATAGAACTTATTTTATTATTTTTTAAAGAATTTTTCTGCTGAAATATGATATTTAAAATATAAAAATTTTATATAAATTTAATAAAAAAAATTTTTAAATTAAATAAATATATATATATTGTTGTATGTAAAGATATATAAAATATAAAGAAAAATACAAACATTATTTGTATTTTCTTCTTATATATAATTTATAATATAAAAAAAAAATAGTGAATTCAATAAAAAGATTTATTTATAACATTAAACCACGTTCAAGTAAATATCAATTTTATATNACATTTGCTTAATTGAAAACACGGAATTTTCGAGTGATTTCGACATTACTCTTCAACTTCGCGTGAGAAATATCTTTATAAAACCCTCATTGACAGAGGTGATAAAACAATTTCTATTACAAAAGACAATTCTTTTAATTATCTTGTAACATTTAAATAGTTCAATTTTAACTCAAAGTGAATTGTGACGTATTACATGTTGATAAAAACATTTTTATTTTAATAATTTTTGTATATTTTTAGTTAATTTTTATCATTTTATTTGCATATTTTGCAACTGTAATTATCTAGGATCTGACAAAAGTCACAAGGCCACGCTCTCTGCAACCTTTACTAGGAGGCACGACCGCGTATAGAAATGATTAATTTAATAAAAATAATAAAATTTGCAGGATTTAAATGATTTTTAATGCCTTTAAAAGCATTATAAATAAGAAAATTAACAAATTAACAATTTGACGAATAGAAGATGTTTCAGGCTCTGAAGATGTTTGTTTAACGTCATATTAATTTCATTAAAGTAGAATTAAATGCATTAATTAATTAATTGAGGCATTCTTTAATTTCATTAAAGATTAATGTTAAATTATTAATATATGTTAAGCATCTTTATATATAACAATGGATACACTTTTATTGTCTGTACTTTCTGGAGTTACAGCTAAGGATCAACGTGATTAAGTTTTAAAAGGAAAAAAATAATTATAAAATTTGCAATATAGGTCAGTTTATAACTTTTGACCTATAAAAAGGATTTAAGATTTGTTACTGCCCTAATTGTTTTCTTGACTATTGGACTAATTAATATGTCCTTGTACAGTACAAAAGCAAATACACTCCTTCCAACGGTGTCCCTCTTAACCAAATCTACTTAATTCATGTTTATTTTCTAAATTAATTATCTTACTCTAAATTATTCTAATATAATAAAACATTTATTTAAAAAACTTTACAACTTTCTGTAATATTCCAGCTTATTGGACTAGATTAAAATCTCTTTTTAATCCTATTATTTCAGTATTTTATCTCGTAAAGTTGATTTTATCGTGTTCTACTTTTATTAAAATATGTTATAACTTAATTATAAATGAATAATTCGCTTCGAATTTATTATTTTTACTCGTAAAAACATGGAATTGTAGTTAAAATGGTAGCGGAAAACTAATATTTTTTTCTTCTGGACATGTTATTTCATCAATATTTCAGCTCTTTCAGCAGATTTGTGTCATAAAAATAGAAATGTCGAGATATTTTGGCAACGTGTCCTGCACAAAAGACATTCAACTTATCCCTCAATAACTGTTCAAATCGAAATATCGATTCTCTGTTACTTGAGAAAATAACAAACAAAAAATAACCAGAATAAAAAAAACATTTTTCTGAATTATTCTCACGATTTTATAATATAAAATATTAAATAATATTCTCTGAATTTAAAAAAATATATACATTAAAAAATTTAGTTAAAGTTTAACAAATTACCGCATCGTCTGAGCTCGTTACATTCATTTAACCTTCACTAATGTCAAGTCAATGTCAGCATTAACCTAACTCTTATCATTATATTATAGAATTAAATCATATCCAGCGAAATTTAAATAATATAAAAGTTAAAATATTCATTTATATAATATTATTTCTCATTATATACTTTAATATATCAAAATATCATTATATAATGAACAGTTTTAAACTTTTTAAAGTAAATATTAATATAGAATTTTTAAATAATAAATTTTTTTTTAAATATTATATATAATAATCGCTATTATATATATAAATATTTAAAACTCTTGACAGAATAATTTTTAATAGGCTAAATTACTGATAAATTAACTAATAATTGCTGTTTATCAGATCAATTTTTATGAAAATTGGCATATTTTTAGACGTGTCATTTATAAAAGTTAACGTAAAAAATGGCGATTTTTTTAAAGTCAAGAGCTTAATATTAGTCTAGTTATCGTCTAGAAGAATTTAGGAAATTTTTATTTAATATTAATATTAATATTATTATTATTATTTTTTTAAAGTTTACGACAGGAAAAAATTTTAATAATGAAATATTGTTTGATAAATGAGAATTTTTAGTTTTATTCTGGGTTTTTCTTGAAGTTCAATAAACTTTTAGTTAATTTAGAGATCATAACGAACTCAGTCAGCTGATGGTGAGCTATTCACACGTGAATAGTAATTAAAGTCTTGCGTCATCAATGGACAAGTTCAATGACCTGACGTATTTCCGGTGAACGAGAACACTCGTTAGCTTTCAATGATTATAAATGAATCATTGCTTAACAATAAAGGAAAACACTTCTAACTTTTAAACCCAATCAACTCGTCAGAGAATTAACAAAACTCAATTGCTATTTTAACAATTAACGTGAAGATTTATTTACATTTTTCCAATTTATATTTTACTATTTTTTTTTTACATAATTTCCTTTCAAACTCCGTACACACAATGTGCAGAAACAAGAAACCCTGTAGAATTAAGGGCATTGTGTGTGTGACCGACCACTAACTGTGTATCCCATGGATAATTCTCAAACTATGCCCCCACGAAGAACGGAAATACCATAAAACTTTCAACTCCTACGTTTCATTTATATTCCCTAGATGAATTCCGAGTAACAATAAAATAACAATATGTCAAAACTCGAAATAAATATTTAATTTTAGAATTGTAATTTGCTCTCCGATATTTTTGCATCGATAAAGAATTCCTTGGCAAAGATTTGCGAACTATAATTATGCTACTCTTTACCAGTTGTATCGACCTCGTCCTGATTATATTGAGCAAATGCCAGATAGTCTCTGTTTTTCATTCAAATCCATTAAACCTGCACTCGTCCTCTTGAATATCATCCTCGTCCTCTTAAATATCATCCTCATCCTCACAAATCTGTAAATTTAACGAAGTGGTAGGTTCATTCTAACTTTTATTTTTTTCTCGTTTTAAAAAGGTTACAGCGTTCTTTAACCTTTACTTTAAGTGAATATTAATAAATATTTAAAGCTTGGGTAACTCCTAATCCTTAACTAACTTATAATAACAGATGGTTAAATTTTTTACTTCTCTTAATTTTATATGATTAACAAGGTATAAATAAACTATACATTAATTTTATTTATTGTATTATAGCTTTAATTGTATCATTATATAATCTAAATATACTCTAAACTATCTTAATTCTTTCTAATATTTTTTAATATCTACGTAGAGGCAATATAAATAATTTAAGGTAAAATGGTCATTGTATTTTGCACGAGAACGTAACTGACCTGAGGGAATCGCTTTAGAATTATAGAAATTTCGTCTTTTGGGAAGATTCTTTCCCATAGAGAATATTTTTCAAAACATATTTGAGTGTTATAATCAATAATTATAGAGCTGTTGAACTGATTTATCTGTCATCTAGTCTCAATAGAATATTCACATCTATTGAGATCTACTTGACTAATTTTTGTGAATTTTCTTCATGTTTTTTTCTCCTAAGAAGTTTAAAATTTCTAGGAAAAATACAAGTTAAAATACGACAAAATTCAATTTTGAAATATTATATATATATATATTTTATTGGACTCAAGAAAATTCAAGAAAGTAAATCTAGTAGAAGATCTCCATAGATGTGAATACAATATTGGGATTAGATGACAGATAAATCAGTTCAGCAGCTCTGTATAATTATTGATTATAGACCTCGAAATGTTTTTAAAGATGTTTTCTATAAGAATATATATATATATACATATATATGTTCACCGAAAGGGCGCTCTATATATATAAGCCCACATACATGTGTACACAGATTCAGATGCTAGTTGGGTAATTTCCCGTTTCTAAACACAAAAAATACCTAAAATTTAGTCTTTTATATAAAAGCATTACAAAAAAAAGTGATAATTTTTTTGATAAATGGAAAAAAATCATATATTTTCATACCTTTGGGAGAAGGATGAGATCTTATACTTGTGAATAGATGTTAAATATACAATAAAAAACTCGATATATTTAATACTTTTCATTATCTTATAATTGCTTAAAATTAATTTCAAATATTTAAATCTAAATTTATATTTTGGAATTTATAAATTGAAACTCAAGACCTTATCTCATCCCTCTTGAACCTCTCATACTTTATAATTTCATTAAAGATT